AACCAATATTTATACAAGGCATATTATAAGGATCAAAAATTATGTTGTTAAACATTTTTGTAATACTCAAAAATATTCAGAATCAAAAATTTAAACAAAATCTCTCTCAAAAGCTAAATTAAAATCTTCTACAAAATAATACAATATGAAAATGATAAATATATGATATATATATATTCCAATATGTTAGTTTGGCCATATGTATTAAGTATGAATAGTTCATATATTTTTAACGAGTTTGTCTTACATTTAGAACTTTCTCGCGTAAAATTTGACGAGCCTTTTCAATTTCAGCTAACAGCACTTTCTTGCCAGGGGCCATACAACTGGTTTTCTATTAAAATAAAACCAATATTCTACTACATATAAAGTAATTAAAGTAGCATTAACTTATTATAAAGTAATAGGTGCTAATATTTAACTACATTATATCTCTATGTTTTAATTATAAATATGATCTACTATTTCTACTCTTGTAACATAAAATGTATATATAAAAAAAAAAATAACGTAAAGCAATAAAATTAAATGGATAACTTTAATTTAAGCATTATAGCAATTATTTGAAATTTAGCAAGTATTACAACTAATCAACGAATATTTACAACCCCAAAAATAAAACTAACATAATAATAGAAACTTTATTTATTTTAACAACTAATTTAACTAGACAAACTCGACATAACTTTACATATCATTATACACTTGATATTTGAAGATTTTTTAACAAGCATATCATTATTATTATATTAGTGATTAGTTTGTATCATATAATACTGGTATTCATCTCTAGAATTTCATTAATTGCCAAATTTTAACTGTATGAAATGTTGTACTTTAAAGTATTTACTATTTATTTATTATRTTTATTATTACTTGATTTTATTACTTATTACTACAGATTTAAAATAAAACAAGGAATTTTAAAAAGACAAGTTTCAGAATTAATTTGAAAGTTTAAGAAACTACCAAAAGGCCAAAATTATTTTCATTTCTTGGAAAAATAATTTTTCTTTGAATATCAAAATTATAAAATGTTTATAATATAACGGAGTGAAAAGTGTTGGTACACTCATTCTTGTTCCCTTGGTTAGAGGGAATGTACCTTTTGGGAATTTGCTGTCTTCAGATACAAAAACAATTATTAAAGAAAACAAACCGAAACACAAAATAATGTTGGTAATAACATAGTTTATTTTTAGAATAGTGTAATATAATAATTTAAATTGTTTAAAAATAATAATAGTCTACGCTTTTGCCATCCATAAAAAGTTTGCAGGTTTTTTTTTGAAAGACAAAAAACTTTCTGTAGAAAGTATAACTAATATTATAAGTGGAGATCAGAATTATAAACGCTTAAAAAATTTGAAATATGATGCAAACAGGCTGATTAAAAATTACAAAATATGCACAAAAACCTTTAAAGCATGAGGTTTATAATAAGCAGAGCTTGGATTTTATAGCATTTGCTAATTATTATAGGATAATGATAAAAATAGCTGAGTGAGCTATAAATTTGTTTTATACATCACAGAATCTAAATATGAAATTATATAGTGCTATTTATTTTGCTAATTTTCATTAAATAATGTTTTATTTTGAATTTTCTTGAATGTAGTTTATTTTAATTATATTTTGTTTGAATCCATCGGAAAAATGTAAATAAACACATTTTTGTTCATATTAAAATTTATTATAATGTAACCCAACAAATTAGTTTATCAAATAGTAAACAATTATAACTCTCAARAAATTGTTCTATTCTTATGTATATATTTTGTGTAATAAATTCTGTCATATTATATTTGTACATATATTTTTTTAAATTGTTAACAGAATACATTTTTACTGTTGCTATTTTTCATGTTTTTAGTGCATATTATAGTGCGTATATTAAGATTATTTAGGAGTTAGGTGATACTATAATAAATATTTTAGTTGTTTATAGTGCTATAAAATCTGAACCTTGATAATCAGCATTAAATATTTGTACCAAATTAAAAAAAAAAATTAATTAACAATTTTTTTTTATATCTATGCAACACATATATATTTTAAAGTAAGCTTTATACAAAATAGATATTATTTTCACATTTCAAACATTTTTCTGTGATAATTTTAAATTGTTGATCAACAAATGCAAATTAAATTTATCTATGAAATCAGCTAGATTTGTATCACTCATATTCTAAAGCCTTGTGATCAATGGATACACCCAGCAGGAACATGCTTGTGTCTTTAATAAATTATATTATTCCAGGGATTAATAACAACTAGCCTATCACACTATCAGACTTAAAGCATTCATTTAATCTTTTTTTTTCAATGAGATGAGACTTTTATTACACAAATATTAAAATGTGATATTTGATCTCCAGGAGTTAGTACAGTGATTCCCAAYGTGGGCGCTACCACCCCCTTGTGGGCATCTTTTATTCTGAAGGGGGYGTTTTTATGAGGGGGCGCTCATCTATTAGCGAATTCGAAATCAAATTATATAATTATTAATTATTAGTAGGTATTTAAATTTAAAATTAACTAAATTGTAGCGTTAAAATGTTAAATNAAACCATATTCATTAATAGATAATATAATATAAACATTATAAACTATAAAGTTATATTTCAAAGGATTTGAATTTTTGAACTAATAATTTTATTTTAAGTTATTAATTATAACTATTAACTAATATTTATGTGGTAGTTGGTAGGTTTGTGGTTTTTATCGATTGTAAAAAAGTGACTTACATTTAAAGTATAAATAAAATTGACTATTAAAATTGAGTTTCGAATTAACTCAAACTTGTATTATTAATGTTAACAAATTCTTAAGGTATGTTTATTACTCTTATATTATGTTATACTTTTAACTTGTAAATACCATCAGCAACCATAAAATAGATTTATCATTGAACTACCTAACACCATTTTAGTAGAAAGAATTTAAAAATTAATAAATTCACTTCCAACTGTTTAGATTAATTTGACATGGAACATAGATTTTCGACTTATGAAACTGTTAGTGCAAAAGCTTGCCCTATTTACATTAAATTGAAGTTTCAACAAGTTAAGCGAAGACAAGAAACTTTAGAARTACAAAAACAGTAAGTTCAAAAGTTAATTTTACTAGCACATAATATTATAATTAGATTGTAACTATAGGTCCATAGCTAATAAGTACTAAATTAGGATACAGTAATCGAATGTGAGAATGCACTAACATTTATCTCAAATGTAGCATACTGCTCACTTACAAATTCTATAATATGGATACAAATCATTTTGCACTTCTCCATCAATAACCAACCGTTAATTCTATCCCAGCTTAATCAGCTGATAACAGATATTTAACCGTGCAAATTCGGTCAATTAAACTCCGGTTAACTTTAATCAGAGACTGTACAACTGGCCCTTAAAGTTGTTGATGTTAAGCCTAATTTTTTCTCAACTTCGTCGGGTGTCCCTCAAAGGAGTCATCTGTCGCCAATATTGTTTTTGTTATTTATAAACAACAACCTCCATTGTATGCTACATCACTGTCAATTTCTGTGTTTTGCTGTTGACATCAAGTTATATCTGCACACAACTACGCCAAGTGATTGCACAAAACTTTAATCCGACCTAAATCGGTTCTCAAATTAGTTCAACACTTCAGGTTTATCACTTAATTTTGATAAATGCAAAATTATGACCTTCACTAGATCCCGTTCTCCTATAATGTCCCCATACTTCATCAATAATGCAACTGTTATTTGTACTATGGACTATGTCATGGATCTTGGATTCAAGCTAAGCTGCAGTCTTGACCCAACTGCTCACATCAAGTACGTGTGTTGTAAAGCTTTGAAAACTMTTAGTATTGTCATCTGGTTAATAAAGAACTTTCGGCTTGAATCGTCATTAAAAACACTTTTCTGTGCGTTTGTGCGGCCCATTTTAGAATATGGAGCTGTATTATGGGACCCTCATACTGCAGATGATGCAAGGCAAATTGAGCGTGTTCAGCACCGATTCCTATGCTATGCGGCTAGGCATGTACTTAAGATACCTTGTGCACCTCATAATTATACACCGATTGCTACTCATCTAGGTATGGCCTCCTTGACCGAATCGCTGGTATTAAATTCCTTGCGGGTCTCTTAAAGAATAATATAGATTCTCCAGTCCTTCTCTCTCAAATCTCCATTAAAGTTCCATCCTGTTTCATCCCGCTCTAAGACCCTCTTCTATGTCTCGCATGCTACCACCAACTATATGGCTAATGAGCCTTTAAGACCCCTAATGTCGTTTGCTAATGCTGAGCCTTCCTTCAACGATTAACCAAATTTTTAATGTATATATTCAGCATAAGTTATTATTGTCATCTGATAAATGTATTTTATATTAATTTAAGCTGTATAAATTTAATTTACTTTTTTCTTATTGTAAAATTTCTGATATAAAAATATATATTGTAATATCAAAAGGGCTAAGCTTGTATAACTAATAAATTAATAAATAAATACACCCTATATTCCTATGTTTATTGATAAAATATAAAATATACATAGTATGTTATTAATTTAAATAATTTTTGAAGAGAATATCTTTTGAGCACTTCTTGAGCTAAAAATACCATACCCTAAGTTTATATAAATCTTATCATATTATTACATGACAAGAGTTAGAATTAAAATTTTTATTGGTGCAAAATGTTTGCAATTTTATTTTGTTAGTATGCAAGTTTATGAATTGTATATATTTAATATTTATTATAATTAAACTTTCCAAGTATGAATGGGTGCACAGATGTTAAAGATCAATACATATTCATGAAAAAAAA